AAAAATAAACTAAAGCTGGCCACACGAAGAATGAGAAAGGAATTGGCAAGGACACAAAGTGATGCCGCCAAATGCCCCACATTCACAGCACAGAGATATGCCATGAGGTGAGAATCACCTTTCCCTCTTCCCCAGTTCAGTGAAACAGGAATTGGTCGGACTCAGGAATGGAATGACATCTCCATGAAGCTCCGCTTTCTCAGAGGCCTGGGAAGGGTGGCAACTCAGCTAGAGCCAGGATGTACTCACTGGCCTTTTAATCCAATTATTGGGTTTCTATGTTTACGAATTAAAATGCTTCCAGTAAACCAGGAAGAAAGGTCTTCTGGAGGCAGTGGAAATGACTTATTTAGTTGTTAATAGTACACGGGCTTTGTCATGGGCTTTGGCACCAGGAAAACTGATTTCAAATCTCTGCAACTTACATATTTATAGTAAGATATTTAAACTCTAAGTTTTAGTGCCTACATTTGGAAAAAAATGGAGATACATATGTATCATAGAGCTGTTGTAAAAAGATTAAATTACACAGGTAAATTGTGAAACATGGTATCAGAAAAAGCATTATTAACAATGAAATTTTTATTCAATGAAGAATATTATTTTTGTAATATTCTCTAGCCACCCAGTCTCATTTTACATCATTGCTTTCTATCTGGTTCCAGCTTTGACCTGCTTTCCCAGAATAATACGTACATATATATCCTTGCTTTGAAACCTCATTCTCCTCTGTTCTTTAAAGTTATACCTAAAATTATTTGGGTGTGGAGGGGCATACCTATAATCCCAACACTGTAGGAGGCTGAGGCAGGAGAATTGCAAATTTGAGCCTAGCCAAAGCATTTTAGGGAATTAGTGAGCCCTGTTGTAAAATAAAAAAATAAAAAAGGTCTGGGAATGTAATTCAGTGCAAAGTCCCTGGGTTCAATCCCTGGTTACATGTCAAAAAAACAAAAACAGAGTTATACTATATATAAATTCAATAACAATGATGTACAAAAATTAAAACCATAGAATAATATATGACAGAGTTTTTGATCTTGAATTTTTTTTTACCTTTTTAAGATCTTTTATATATGTAAATGCAGTAAGTAGAGGAGCTTAATGCAAAAGATGTTACATTTTTCTGTCATATCTGAAACAAAAACAACTTAAAGTATTTTTAAATGAATAAATTTTACATTTTACTTTGCCATACCTGCATATGGTATTTGATCCTGAATTCTGAAGGCATTCTTTATTTTTTATAACATTGACCCTGTGACTGTGCAGGCTACTTGAACAGGGAAAAAGTCCTGTATTATTATTATTTTCTACCCTCCTCATAGGAGGTTAAATAACTTGCCAAAAAACACTGGGTAGTTTCAGAGGAAGAATCTTGAATTCTTGATGAGAAGATTTTGAATTCTTGATCTCAAATCTGCCAGGATGGCCATTTATTATGAAAAAGTCAGCCTACAAAAGATGATCCCAAGTATTAATATTATATTATTATACTGCTTCTCATCGCACAGTTAATATGTTTTCTAGATTTATACTCGCCCCGTAGTTACCCATACAACATAGGGAGAAAGTAGTATAAATTCCCTGCTTAACAGCCAAAGCAGTCCTTGTCACCAGAACTGTCATATGTTAGATCCTGTGTCAGTATCTGCAGCCAGGCCTTAGCTTCTAAGGATCTACTTGTTACAAGTGAGTTTATGTGCCTTGAAGCATATGGCCTTGATATATGATCCCAGAGCAAAAGAGCAAGGTATTTCAAGCTGGCCACAATTTTATTGACTCTCACAGACTTGCTTTGTAGTCATTCCAATAAACTAGATGAGAAATTTCTGATGCTCCAAGCTATCCAGTCCTCAGGACTCCATTTCGTGATTCAGAGTCCAACAAAACAACTCAAGAGTGCTTTTGTATGACACTGTGACCACAGGGATAAATAATTGCTTAGTAATTCTCTTTGAGGCAGAAAATTCTAAACATGGAGGAACCATTTCCCCTTAATGGGAGCCAGAAATCCTGTGAGTGCTTGAAATGGCATTCACAAGTCTGAATGGTAAACAGATAAAAACAGGAGCGCACCAGTTGCACAAATGACTTGCTTGTCACAAACTTGTCATTGCAGTAATCTAACATTTCTTTCACAGAGCCCGATGGAAAGTATGGAACAAACAAGCCCTGCTGACGTTTTGGCTCTGTTAAGCCTTCCTTCAAGCTAAAGCATCTGCAGCATCTTCCTGTTCTAGACCCTTTATCTGCTGAAGTTAGCTGATACTGTACATGTCAAAGAAATGTTTGACTCTTGCATTAACAAGTTGATGACAAGCAAGTTATTCCTGCAGTTGAAATACTGCTGCTTTTAGTCGGCTGCTATTTTGACCTTCATTTTATTATGAAAAAGAACCCTAGCAGAGCACTGGGAAGGGACCAGAATTGTTGCCCCAGGCCTCTGCAGATTCACAAAGGCTACTTGTGTAGGGGATAGGGGCTGTGGTGGTGGAGTGGGCACACCTGGCAGTTTCATCAGATTATGGATGGGATTTCCTACTAAAACCTGAATGTTCTGAATACACTGGATGGTCCTAAGGATTGCTCTTGCAGGGGTAAAAAGACCTGCACAGAAATTGATTTTCTCCCATATTGTCTCTACCCACCTCCCCACATGCACATACATTTATATGTGAGTGCTTTATTGAATATTAGTAGCTGGGAAACATAAATGAAAATTGTATATAGCAACTATTCACATAGTTTTGCCAGTTCTTCCTGTTGGTAGCCTCTCCTAACCTCCTTCTCATTCAGCATAATATCTAAAGCTATCTAAACTTCATCCAAGCCATCTTGTTGTCTCCTAAAGAGCACTGTGTCCCCGTTAAGCCTCCTCACAGAAAACTCAGGCAGCCCTCCAGAAGATATCATCAGCTCATTTCCAACTCCAGCTACCAGCAGGGAGTGCTCGTACTCTGTGCAACAGCTGACTCTTGTCTGTCTGAGGAACCCTCCTCCCCCTTGGGGACCCACCCTTGGTGATCTCTGAGTGTGCAGTCCACTGGGTCCCAGCCTTATCAGCATACAAAACCTGGCTGGAGGCTGTAATTGGAGCCTTGCCTGTCCCCCCAACCCCCATCCTCCAACTTTCTGCTTTTGTTGGTGCCAGGGGATATCAGCTCTTAGAACAGTGGAGCATTTGCCCTAAGACTTTGGCCTTTTCATAAAACTGAGCTTGTCTTATTCACCAAGGTGTCAGGTACCTTGTATTCTTTTCAGACCCTTCAGGTCTGGTTAGGGTACACTGATAGTGTCTGGTCTGGTTTAAATATTGACATGAAAAACTTTCATTTTCTGACTTATTTTCTGGCTGGTGCCCCAGGAACTTTCATTTTTAAACGTCTTGGGTAAAAATGATTATCACTGTTCAGCCATGATAACCGAATTTCTTGCCAAAGTGGTGGTAAGCCTTGACATTTTTAGACTTGACAACTTGTCCACGGTAGTGTCTCCCATATGAAATGTTTTACTTTACCCCAAATATCTCATGTTGCAATCTATACTTCTGCTTTGTGGAAAAACTACCTCAGAGGACAGGTGGGATGGGTGTGAGAAGAAGGCCCTTTTGTTTACAGAGTTAAGGATATTGTCCCTGAAACAGTGAGGATAGTTTGAGGCAATGATTCTGTTTCTGCAAAAGAAAATATGTGAATGAACAATTTTAATTTTAAGTGGAGTGTTACTGACTTTTTTTCTTTTCAAGTTCCTAATAGGATTTACATAATGATTTTGTGTTTCCTTTCTTATTAGAACTTAAATGGCAAAAAAATGATATGCTATTTTTAATTCAGAAAAATATAAAATCTTTTTATTGGAACTCTTAATATATGTATTACGAACTAGATAATGGCCCAAAAGAACAAAAGAGAGACAGACAGACAGAGAAAGGTTCTGACTTCCTATTCAGAGGGATATCTAATTAGTGTGTGTTTTTAGTATTTACTTATTTGTCTGTTTGTTTTAAGAAATTTAGCAAAGGGGGCTGGGGATTTAGCTGAGTGGCTCCGCCACCTGCCTTGCAGGCGCAAGGACCTGAGTTCCATCCCTGGTACCCCCCCCCAAAAAAGTAAGCAAAAGCAGAAGAACTAATCCCTTATACTGCAGTAATTTCATTAGACCCATCATAGAATATTAGGGTGAGAAGGGGCTTTGATCAGCCTGACTTTATATCACACTCTCACTTGAGAAGTGAAGGTGCTGAGATCCAAAAATGTTTAATAAATGAACCAAGGTAAACAAAGGGATTGTGGCAAAGCAAGGCCTAAAAACCAAGGTCTGACTTCCAATTCAGGCAATACTCTCTCAGACATTACATTACATTTTTTAAAGCTTTCTTTCAAATGAAGACAGTCTCATCTTAATAATTTGCACCAATGTGCTTAAATCTAAAAGGGCATTTTGCTTTTGTCATTACTGGGACTTTGTGTGGCTAAGCTAACTATAGAATGTGCATTTGAACAGATTGAATATATTTCTTTCTAAGCGGTATTTTATCCAAGTAGTGTAAGCAACCTTTATTATTTCAATGAAGTTTTTCCTCTTAGAGGATTCAAAGAAACACTCTATTCCAATCATGTATCTGAAAACATATTTTTAAGTGGGTCTGTTCCTTTAATAAGTATTTGTTTAAATATATCATATCCTAGCATTCTAGGAGATAAAAAGTCCTTTATCAGATTAACAGAAATCTGTTTCTTATTCCCACTTTTAGTCATGTTTGAGTTTGTCCTTGTAGTTGTTAGTTTGGACAAAACATTGATTAAGTCAAAATATCAATGTTTTTGTTTGTTTGGGTTCTTTTTTGTTTAGCAGGAGTGAAAAAGTTAAATATGAATTTACCTTTTGTAGCTATGATAATTATGCTTTTTTATTCATGCAAAACTTATTTTTCTTTTTGTTTCATTTCTGTTTTCGCATGTTACAAACAACTGTACTGTGGCTGGTGGCAAGAGTAGCAGTGGCTGGCACTTTTCCTCAACGTTGTGAGAAAAAGAGAATTAGCTGGAATAAAATCTTGCTTTCCATATGGTGAACTTGAAATGCAGCATTGAACAGGTATCTTCTCTTTTTCTTTTCTGAAACCAGAGGTGAAACCCATGGACAAATAGCAGTATTGATGCCAAATCACCTGTTGATTCTCATCAGAAAATTCCTTGGCAATGCAACCCTTGTTTCATCAGTTGCAAAACCTAAATAGTTAGTCTTTGTGCGTTGGTAACATCTATATTCAAGACATGTGCCTTTGGTCGCTCACTTAAGAATGACCAAGATTCTACACATAGTTAAGAAATGAGCTGAAAGTTTGCTTTTGATTGAACAAAATGATCATTTTGTAAGTATGTTTGGCTTGTGAGGTGCTTATTAACTCCTACAATATCGGAATCGATTGTTGGGAACAATGGAGAGAAAAATGGCACTACTGTTTTCCTTTATCTTAATTCTAGTTGGGAAAAATAGTGGTCTGTGTCTTATAAAAATGTTTTAATGTAAAGTATTTCAAACACATAAAAGTATGAAGATTAATATGAAATATAAGAATCCAAAACACAAGTAAAACAAACCTTGATAATTTGAAGTATTTGTTTCTGAGCCTGTTTCTATTATTATTCTCTTATAAATTGTGTACAATAGAAAAATTAAATGTATAGTTTGAGGAGCTAAACTCTACAGTCATGTGAAACATATATAAAACATAGGAAGGGTCTTTCTTTAGTGCCTTTTTGCATTTGATTTTCTCCAAAGCTTTGACAAAGGTTAATAGCAATCATTAGTTCCTTTTATGTAAGTCATATATTATAGCTTAAATTAATTCTCCTGAATATATCACTAAAATTTATTTGTTGATTTTCTCATTGTTAGGCATAATTTCCAATGTTTTCCAATAACAAGCAAGTTAATATTTATACACATGTACATACAGGGAGGTGGAATTGCTAAACATTAAGAAACATGAATTTTAAACTTTACCAGGGCATTGTAAAGTTTCACTTCAAAATACCAATTTATATTCTTCATAATCTGAGAGTTTCTCCACATCTTTCTTAATATTTGAAATGATCAGACTTTTTAAAATTTTGTCATTTTAATAAGGATTAAATAATATCTTGCTTAAATTTTTTTTCAATTATAAGCCATTGAATTCCCTCTTGTATGTTACCTGTTTGTATCTTTAGTCTATTGTCTATTGAGTTATTTGTGTTGCTATTGTTATTTTGTAGTGTTTTGTCTTGTTTTGGAGTTAGTTGTTTTTGTTTTTATTATAATATTCTGGATTCTCATACCTTTGGGCCATAGGGAATACAAATATCTTTTCCCAAATTGTAGTTTCTCTTTTAACTGTGTCTTTAGTAACATTTATTTTTTTAAAATTCTGATTTTAATACAGTTAAGCTTATTGATATTTTCCTTAATTATTTGTGCTTTTATGTTAAGAAACCTTTCCATATGCCTTATATTTTCTCCTGTTTTAAAGATTTTCCTTCTATACTTAAACTACTAATCTTCTTCAAATTTATTTTTGTTTATTGTATCTTACATGAGCCCATTTTATTTTTCTTAATATGGATAATCCATTTATCCCAAAACTGTTTAACAAATTAGTCATCCTTTACTGACTAATATGCAGTATCATTTGCCTACATCGAATTTGTTTTTAGTATTTTTATTTCATCCAATATAATGTTCTTCTATCCTTATACTAATATCACAGTGCCTTACTTACCATAACGTAATAATATTCTTGATATTTGGTAAAATAAATCTCTTTGTTCCTTTTTTAAATTGTCTTGGCTCCTCTTGACATTTTATTATTCAATATGAAATTTAGGAATAGCTAGTTTAGTTCATCAGAAGTTCTGCTGAATTTTATTTGAAATTACATTAACATTGGAGAATAATCTGGGGAAGAGGTGACACATGTCTTCTGGACATTAACTCTATACCTATACTTCTTCAAGTCTTTTTTATATTCTTTAATAATTTATAATTTGCATCATGAAAGTCTTGTGCCTATATTTTTAATTTCTTCATTAACTTAGTTTTTTGTGCTTTATGTGCAGAATCAGTCTTTCATTTCAGTTTATTATTATTGGTATATATCCAGTAACCTTGCTGAATTCTCTTATTAATTCTAATAGCTAACCTTATAATTCTCTTTTCTATATGGACATCTATATCATCAGTAAATAATGACACATTTTCTCTTAAACTCCAATTCTTAAATGTTCTATTTCTTCTTCCTATCTTATTCTATTTTTAACCCTCTGTATAGTGTTAAATAAAAGTCATGATATCAGGAATATCTATTTTTTCTTACTTTTATAGAAATGTTTTGGAAATATGTTGTTTGCTTGTTGGGGGAGGGTGTTATGAAATTCATGCTTCTGCTTCCGAAATGCTGGGATTATGCTGTGTACCACCACACCCAGCTTGTTTGGCATTTTGATAGTCAAAATTACTATATTAGGGAAGTTCCCATCATACATTTATAGCTTGCTAGGTATTTTTAATCAGTAATACTAGTTAAATTTTATCTATTGCATTTTCTGCATCAATAATGTCGATAAAATTTCCCATTAATATGTTCATGTGTTATACTATACTAATGTATTTCCTTATATTAAGCATTTTTTACATTCCTAAAAAAATTTTTACTTCATTTTCATGTGTTTTTTAAATCCACTGTTAAGTAACATTTCCTAACCTCTTATGTAGTATGTTTGCATGGGGAGATTAGTTTTTAATTTTTATTTTTTAAAACTGTTATTACAGAGTCTTGGTATTATGGTGATAATAGACTTAGAAAATAAATTTAATAGCACTCTTACTTTTTCTAATTTCAAAATTTTTTATACTCCAGGGCAGTGGTGGTGAACCTATGGCACATGTGTTATTTGTTTTTCTTTTAATACAAAAGATGTTAATGTATGAGGTTTTTTTTTCTAAACTGAAACCTCAGTATTAAGGTTTAATTGCAGTGTTGGCACTTTGCGATAAACAAGTGGGTTTTGGGTTGCAGTTTGGGTACTCAGCCTCTAAAAGGTTCACCATCAGTGCTACAGAGATTACCCAGGGATATATTCATATAATTTTCAATTTTAAAATCTTTATCACCGCCCTGTTTTCTCCAGTATTATTTATCTGAACCTTTTCTTTCACTAATTGCCAGACATTTTTCTGTTCCATTTACTTTTTTTCAAAAGCTGGCTTTTGATTTTGCTTATTAACACTATTTTGTTCTTTGCATTCTGTTACTACTCTCTGCATTTTCTTTCTATGTCATAAAAGTTTGATGCCATTTTCCTTTGACAGGATGCTTGAATTATGACTTATTTAATTTCAAAAGCTTGTATTATATTTAAAAATTAATTTCATGCTCTAAATATTCCTCTAGGTTTCTCATTAGCTGCATACCGTATTTTTATATTTAGTTTTGTTAAATTTTAAATATTTTGTAATGACATTTTGATTTATTTTTAAGGCTAGAGTATCTAGAAGTATAGTTTTTACTTTCTAAATATATTTACTGTGTTTTGATTATTGATTCTGAATTTAAATATATTGTAATGAAAAGATGTGGTTTTAATTGAAAATAATTCTTTTTAAATTCCTTTTTGTGACTATTCAGTAGTTAGATTTTACTGCTGGGCCTGAAATCTAGATAGATTATCTGTTTCTTCAGTACACATTCTAAACTGCTTATCAATATATTTCATTACATATTTTTCTAGCAAGAAAATAAACTTTTTAATATTTCTGGTACTCCCCTTAATGTAAGAAAGGTAGCTAGTATATTTTATCTACCTATTAAGTATCAATCTTGTTAGTGTAATTGTTGGAGCTTTACTTGTATCTGGTTTTCATCATACGGAAATGTGATTATCATTGATTTCTAAACCACGGTTTAATTATATGTACTTATAAATTTTAGATATAACTATGCCCATGGTCGTTGTTGTTGTACCCTATGGTCTCCTTTCTGGGTTCACTTTTCTTATTGTTAAATCACACTTTATAGGCAATTCTTTACTGCGAGCCCTGGGTAGTACACCCTTTTTGTATGTCTAAAACTATTTTTATTTGTCTTTTATCATAAATTACAATTTTGAGTATTTTTGCTCAGCATGTTACAGATATTACTCAGTTATATCTGTGACTATTGTTCAGTCAACTATTCTTAAGAGAAATCTGCTATCAATTTTATCTTTTTACAGGTAATCTGCTTTTCTCCTCCTGGCAGCTTTTAAGTATTTTATCATCTGATAGTTTCTCTTAAATATGATTAGTTGTGGATTTATTTGTAATTATCAGTCATGAACTCAGTGTATACTATTTAATCTCAAGACTTCAATTCTAGAAATTCTGATATTATCTTTTCCCTGGTCATTTTTCATTGCCTACGTATTTTTCTTCTGGAATTTTTTTGTTTGTTTGTTTTGTTTGTTGATTTTTTTTTTTGAGATAGGGTTTCACTGTGTAGTCCAGGCTGGCCTTGTTCTCCTGGTTCTTCTGGAATTCCCATAAGATATATGTATATGTTTCCTAATCAATTCAACATATCTCAAATGCTATTTCATTTTCTAAAAGTCTATTTTATTTTCTTTCTTTTCTCTCTCTCTTTTATTTTTTATTTTATTTTATTTTATTTATTTATTTATTTATTTATTTATTTATTTATTTTTGAGACAAAGTCTTGCTATGTAGTCTTGACTTCACTATACAGCCCAGTCTGGCTTCAAACTCCCAGTGATTCTCCTGCCTCCGCCTCTTTACTACTTGGATTAAAGCGTGTACCAACACACTTGGCTAAAAATTCTATTTTACTTACTTGAATTTTTTTTCTGAATATTTTCCTTAAAATTACATGCTAGCTCAGTGTTCTCCTAAAAATTGCCCTCATAAGTTATGCCATGTATTGCACTTTTATTGTCAATGAACACATTTTGAAATTTTAAGATTTCTGACTGATTTTTTAATCTTATTAACCTGTTCTTATTTTACTGCTGTTTTTAATGTATAATTTCTTGTTCTCTTATGGTATAGTTATCTCTGAGCAT